TTCTCTTATTTCTTATTTGTGTTTGTTTCTTCTGCCGTTCGAGGTTGATAGGTGGAACATTTATTCAATCGGCCTAAAGTTTCGACAAAATCGTCGTCTTCTGAGGCCTAAACGCGGTTCAAGGTTAAAATTCACGATCTAATCCACCAAGCGCTTTATCTCGGTTTCTCTTGCATTTTTCCTCAGCTCGTGAAGGCCACTTTTGTACCTACAGGTTTATTTTGCAATTCCTCCTCCCGCATTTTGTCGTGGATTGTTTTATCAAGACTTCATTAAATTCACAGTGTCACATCTACCGATGTCACCATGAGTACAAAAAGAGCATATTTCGAGAACTAGTCACCTGTAGTATCCAGGTAGCACTATATGGACACCGGAGCTGGGGGCGCAAATCGGTTTGATGTTCGGATCGGCCATCACACGAATTGTGTCTGTGGATGGTCCGGTGGCGTTGATGACCGCTTTCGCTTTGATATCCCATTCATTTTTGGATATCTTCAAAAGAACAAGCAATTCTTGATCAACTTTGTTTGCTGGAATGCACTAAAAACTGTTGTCGGCGCTATCGCGATATACGGGGGCATCCTCCAGGACTAAGCCTGGGAAGGCAGGAGCTCCAGGGAAAATGAAAATGGTTCACGCCCTTTGGGATCTCTCCACCGCAGCCTTAGGCTCGGTTCCGTTTTTACAAAGAAGACACGTTTTACACAGTCTTGAAGGCATTGTCACCATAGTGCCCCCGTATATTGCGATAGCGCCCTGTTGTCAAAAGAGAGCTGTAACGTACCATATCTTTCACATGGGCACCGCATATCTTGCCGTTGGCATCCTTGAGTAGGCGCTCGACTTTGACATGATTTGCGCACTAAATTTCATCGAATTAGGAACAACTGGTTGAATTCGAACGTGTACGAATCAGCCCGTGCGTTATCGACGATAGTGAAGCTTCGGGCAGGACCTTAGCCACGTTGTCACCCTTCTCATTGGCGCTCATTGGCGCTCATTGGCGCTTTTTTTTAGGAAACGCAACTTACAATCGAACAAACTCCTATTCGAAACAAAACAAATCCGGTATTGAGACCTTTTCAGCAAAAGGACAGGGACATCAAAACGACTGAAAGCTGGTGAACCTAATGACACACCCGGAACAATGTGACAGCTGTCCTTGTTTTGCCTATATCCATTGCTTATCATGTCCTTGGAACTAGTCAAGCCACAAAAATAGGTAAAAATGTACTTGAATAAAATGGAAGCAGCTCACCTTTGCTCCGTGCCTTATAGCGGTCAGTACTATCGCTAAATTCATACGGGCATCATTATGTGTGCCATCGTAGTATATTAATGCACCCTTAAGCGATTCGCTTTTCAGCATAGGAAACCTTAACGAAATAGTTTTCAAACTCAATTATATAGAGTAATAACAAAATCGAAGTAAATTAAGTTAGAGGGGAATTTTAGGTACAACTCAGAATTATACGTACTCTATTACAATCCTGGGCACCAGTAAAACCCAAGATGGTCAAAAATTTTGAAACATCGTCCACTGGAGACTTTAAGTCCAGTGATCACGACCACTGGAAGGCGGAGCAATTTCAATGATGTCATCAAGGCCATTGGTGGAAGGGCTCTAGTGGGCGGTCCAAGCCACACCCCCAGCATGTTGAGTGGTTTGGTTAGACACCGACGTGCAATGACGGTCATCAAAACCGCACCGCCCTCTAGCCAGTATGCCGATCACGAATATAACATCGTTTAGTCCAGACACCAGCCCAGTTGCGCCAAAATATCACTGCCATACTCGTGACTGGAGCACCGAATAGCACTGAATAACCCCCATGAGTGGCACTAAAGAGAGCTTGGGAATAAACTTGCATTATTTATATTATTTATTTTAATCACTATTTTTTATTTTGCGCAAATGGCCAATAAATGTGTCAGCGCCCACAATCTGAAGCATATTCAGGTCAGCACTCCACTACCCTGTTAATTGAATTTTGACGAGAATTTTTCTTCGAAATTTTGGGATTGTAATACTGAAATAGGTTGAACACATAATCTACGGGAGCTCATGCTCCTAAGTGGGGGACCATTCTAAAACAAGTGCGTTCAGTTCTCTCTCTCAGGTCAGATCAAGTAAAACGGAGAACATCACTCTTGCTCGAAGCAAGCTTGGACGAGCCTTAGGCCCAATCATAGCTATAAGCAATTGCCGATGTGTAAGAGTAAACCTGAGCCTCAGCCTGAATCCAAGCTTAACCTTAGGCTTCAGTGATGCGCAGCTCGGGTGACCTGATCCCGAACTGAACGTCTCCCAGAGCTTGCGAACTTCATAACCCAGAGTTCTTCCTCTCCGTGAAGTTTGTCCTCATAGAATGCTTAACCCCCTAGGGTTTAGTCTCAAGTTCTGTAAGTTGGCTCACTTACTCCAATGGTCCCCCTAACGACATGAGCGCTATAAGTGAAACAACGTAAAATAATATAGTGATATTGCGGAACCATTCTCACCTTTCCATCGCTTTCGCTTTACCGATGAAAAACGAGTTTTTTAGTACTCTTCTACCGGATACCAAATCGTAACACTTAATACCAAACCAGTAATAAGGAACCTGCCACAATCTGAAAATGGTGAGTAGCAGCCATTTATTTTAATCAGGGGGTCTTATAAAGGACATTTTGAAGCATAAAATAAAACTCACTTATAAATGGGTAGCATAATAGGTAGTGGTCCACTGAGATGAGGCGCAATTTCCAATAAGTTTGCTCGCTCGAATAAGGCTTCCTGGGAAAGACAACATCAGAGAAACAAACTTGAAAATTACTTAAAGACACAGTCCGCAACTGAATAACTGCGGGTTATTCACCTAAGAATGAGACTGGGTGTGGCATTTTGGACCGCAGTTAAGTTAAGAGAGCAAACTAAATCGCTAAGAACCCTTCAAATCACACTGGGCTAATCCTATGGGCGGCCTTAGACCGACTACTGGCGTCGCTCTTATTGATCAGCTCCAGTTCAATACCGTATTTCAAGGTGTGGAGAATCTGGCTGACTAATGGAAAGGGCGCCAAGTGGGTCAACTAACGTTAGGCCCTTTTCGAATTGTTTCACAACCTCCCCTTTTAAGGAGTCCTGTCCTCTCCCCCCTTTACATCTTTTGACCTTTACCAACCCAATTATGGCTCACTGCCTCGCAAAAATCGCAAATATGGCATCCCCGCTTGTATCGACCGGACCGCAAGGACGATTGGCCCTAGGGCTCACAGCCGGGCTGGTATGTATGGCGCAATGCGACAAAGGATTCTTGGCAGTTTTTTTGCTACCTTTCAATTATCAGTCCACTGAAAATACCATATCTGCCTTCATTTCGGAAACGGAATAACACACATCTAATCATTCGCGTATGCGCCCTTTGA